CAAAGATAGTCAGTACAGTGCTATTTATAATTCAGAAAATTGAAAAACAATTCAAGTATCTGAACAGTAAGGAATTGGTTACATATATTAGGGTATGTGCATATAAAATACACAGTCAGGAAAAAAAAAATCTGTTATAGAAGTATATATGTGAAAGACAGTTTTTTACGAGATATTTAAGAAGAAAGCAGACTAGAAAAGAGTATGTACCACAGTCTGTTTTTATTTTTAAAACATGCACAAGATAAAAGCTTATGGGGCTGTGTCGCCATGTAGCAAAATGTTTTCATAGCTAGAGGCAGGTGGAGTATTAGCATCTACAGTTCTGTCTGTTTTTGCTTGGTATCGCCTGCATCTTCCTGTAATGTGCACATATGGCTTTTACAGTGAGAAAAATAGGCGTAGACTTTTTATTTTGAATTCAGATGCCACTCGACTGTGGACTGGCTCTCCCGACTCCGTGTCATCCCCCTGCCCCATCTTCGAAGAGACTCACAGAATTCTTGGAAGTCACCTGGCTGTCCGTGTTCCTCCAGGCGCTCCTCTCACAGAGAGTGTCACCTGAAGCTCTCCCCCTCGTCTCACACATCTTGTAAATCATTGTTCCTGTCCTGCCTGGACAGATGTCTGCTCTAAGGCGATGCTCGGTGGAGCCCGAGTGGCGGAGGACAGCCTCCTCGCCCGCCGGGAGCAGCAGGCAGGCCCCTGAAGCCCCGCTGTCTGAGGCATAGCGGCAGCTGGCCCGGCCTTTGGCAGGCTCCCCTGAGTGTGTTCTTCTCCTCAAGGTACCCGGACTCATGGTATCGCGATATCACCTCCAACAAGAGGTTCTTCTCTCTCGCTGCGACCTACAGGGGTGCCATCGTGGGCATGATAGTAGCTGAAATAAAAAGCAGGACCAAGATACACAAGGAGGTGAGTGTGTGTGGTGGTGACTTGGTGGGTGTCACTGGGTGGCCTGTGGGGCATGGGGCAGATTTGTGCCTGCTCTGCGGAGGGCGCTCTGCTTTCTCTTAGGAGCCCACACCTTGTACGGAGCGTGGGTGTTGTACCACGTCTCTGTGTGTACTTGATAACGTCATACACGCGCTGAGCAAAAGGCCTAACTGCAGGCTCCTGACAACTGTCAGGAGTGTAAATGATGAACTGCCAGCAGAGTTGAAGGAGCTGCAGAAATAATCTCATTTGTGTGGCGGCGGGGTCACAGTAACTGCTGTGGTTTGTTAAAGGAAATGCTGTCTCAGAGGTTAGCAAAAATAGGATATAACTTCTTTTCATCCAACTTCACAGACCCCTTGAAGATCTGAGAGCCCCTGAGGGTCTGTGGACCCTGGGTTAGCAAGCTTAGCTCCAAATGTGAATGAAATGCGAGGCCACGGCCACAAGCTCCTTGTTCCACATTGTTGGCTTGGGTCAGGGTTTTGCCTGAACATTTCAGTCACCTTAGCAACCGCGTAGTGTTCACCACGTGGGTGTTCACGCCAGGGAGTGAAAGCCCACCACCCACACCGCTGGCTCCAGCTGCTGTTGGTTAGCTTCTGGTTATTTCGTTGAAACTGCAAGGGTATGTCCTTTTTGAAGACCCACCTGCCCCAGTCTGCCCCATTTTGCCCATAATTAGATTCTGGCAAAGCTGGTTTCTTTTAAGAGTAACTTTTTTTAATCCCAGCTTCCTCCTTTCTGGTTGCTCTGCTGACGTGCAGCAAAGAAGTAGTGTTTGTGGCAAGTGACGATATCTTTTTGGTCGCTCTTCTTGCATGGGACAAACTGTCCCACCTGCCCATCTCCCTGTTTCCTGGTGTCGCTCCTCAGAGACCCCTTTGCATGGCTCTGACTGTGTGCCCCTGGGACTAGCCGGCCCCATGATGACCAGATCTCTGTGTTCCTTTGAATGAGTTGGTTTTCCCCGGGAGGCAGAGATGGGGACCCTTTCCTTCTGT